AAAAAAAAAAAAAAAAAAAAAAAAAAAAAAAAAAAAAAAAAAAAAAAAAAAAAAACAAGAATAAAACGTTACTCCCAAAAACAATTCCATGACGAAAATCCAAATGGCCGTCCACGTCAAATGATTATTATATTTGAGGTGGGCCCCACCGGTAAGAATATAATCCAAAATTTCATCTAAATTCGATAGTTTTCCAAATTTACCGGAATTTTATTTAAAATTTAAAATTTAAAATTTCAAATCAAATTATTATTATTATTTTTAAAAAAAAAATTAAAAAAAAATCTTAAATAATTAATATTATGTCATTTAATTAATAATTAAAATGTGGATTAGTAGGGAGCCGACAGAGATTAGCCGCCTCCAATTTAAAAGAAGGTGGGACCCATTGAGCTATAGGGAAAGATAAGAGGGTACAATTCCATGTTATTGTACCTTATTTTTTCCCATATTGGCCAAAACATCATCAATTAAACAATTAAATCATGTTTCCACAAATATTGAACTAGTACGAGCACAGTTCATTGATTAAGACGATGCTAGTATGAGCACAATTCACAGCTCATTGGTTAAATCGGAGCACAGTTCACCATTCATTGGTTAGTACGAGCACAACACAGTTCATTGGTTAAGTCGGAGCACAGTTCACCGTTCATTGGTACTCGAGCACAACACAATTCATTTGTATGTCTTTCCAAAGGTCTTGATGTTGTTCACGTGATTGACTCTGCAAGTTAAAACGATTATAATCCAAACGTAGGTTTCATAAATTCAAACTTTTCAGCTACAATCGGGTCATCCATTAGGTAGCTGAATTTCCTCCTAAAGAGTTCACTCGATCAACCAGTTAACATAGATCTAACAATCACATGATACTCGAAACCATGTGTCTTGTTTATGTATTATTTGTACCTTTATAGCTTTGCATAGGCAAAGTGCTTTAAAGCCGGACCAACCAACTCTTCTTCGCTTCGTCTCGATCCGTATCTATTTCGTAGTAAACGAAATTAGGTTATCGATAGCTCTATAATAATTCACGAGAGATATCAAAACGATCACGAAATCGAACGATATATGATGATCATTTTGGATAGTGTTTTGTGTTCTTTTGCATTCAAATTTAAAAGGATTTGGATCTATGATAGGTGAAAGGAATATTTTTCATACACAAAAATGACATTAAAATAAAAGTTGAGATTTGAGGATCACATGTTCCCATGTGGGCAAAAAGATGAGATTTTTCTTTTTTCTTTTTTATTTTCTTTTATTTTTAATACTTTCGTAAAGGTGTGGAAGTCTCTTCCAAATAGATGCATTTTTAAAATCGTGAGGTTGACGATGATACGTAATGGGCTAAAATGGACAATATTTGCTAGCGGTGGGTTTGAGCTGTTACAAATGGTATCAGAGCTAGACACTGAACGGTGTGCCAGCGAGAACGTTGGCCTTCCAAAGAGGTGGATTGTGAGAATCCATATTGGTTGGAGAGGAGAACAAAACATTCATTATAAAGGTGTGAAAACCTCCGCCTAATGTGAACCTAACTACGATACGTAACAGGCTAAAGCAAACAATATCAGCTAGCGGTAGGTTTTGACTGTTACAAATGATATCAGAGCCAGACACAAAACGGTGTGCTAGCAAGAACGTTGAGCCTTCAAATAGGCTAAATTGTGAGATCCCACATCGATCAGACGACGGCCATAGGTATAAAAACAAAGAGACAACAAACTTCATTAGTCTCAAGTTTACGAGTTTAACCAAAAGTATACCCATAACCGAACTTTTACTCAAAATAGACAATAACATACCATTTTCGAGATATATAGGTAGTTCATTCTCAAGCTACGAAACTGAATAACTCGAAGACGTATTAAACGACATCGTAAAGGAACATGAACCGAACTCGTATTACATTTAAAATCTCTTACACACCTCTTCCTCCTCCTCTCTATAAAGTGGTCCTTATGGGATAGAGTTTCTATGGCTTTTTTTTACCCATTCTTTCATCATCATCATCTTCATCCTCTCTCTCTCTCTTTGTAGAGAGAGAAGAGGAGAGAGAAGTGGAAGTGTTGTAAGTTCAGGTCGAAGCCATGCTTTTCCACAGCTTTCTTGAACTTTCTTCTCTCAATCATTTGCATGCAAATCTCTGTTAGAAAGTTGAAGAAAGCTGTGGGAGAAGATGGCATTTTTAGGCCTTTTCTTTTCATAAACCTCTACTCATGTTGTTCATCATACCCTCTCTTGGTAAGTTTGATATGCATTTGCTTTTGTTTTGGGCTATGGGGATGGATTTGTATGTGTTCATCAATGAATCGAGATACCCACTCGCTAAAAGTGATGGAAAATTCAAGAATCTTGTCAAATTCATGAATTCATCTAGTTTTCTCAGCCGATTCGATTGGTTTTTGATTATAATACCGATCGATTTGGTTCAGTTTTCTAGTTAAATTTCTTTTTCTCGTTTGATTTTAAGGCTAAAATCAAATTGATCTGATTCATTTTTTTTTTATGGGTATGAGTCGATTTGATTGGGTTTGTGAGATCTCATGTCGGTTGGAGAAGATAACGAAGTATTCTTACAAGATGTAGATTTGTTTTAAAACCCATTAGCCAAATGTGATAGAAAATTCGAAAACCTTATCAAACTCGTGAATTCTTCTCGTTTTGTGAGCTGATTCTATTAGTTTTGATAACAATACAGGTTCGATGTAGTTTAGTTTTCTAAACAAATTTTCTTTCCTCGTTTAATTTTAAGCCTAAAATCAAACCGAGTCAATCCATTTTTTTATGGGTATGAATCGATTTGATTGGTTTTGTGAGATTACAGGTGAGTTGAAGAAGGAAACAAAACATTTTTTTTACCAAACTCATGAATTCAAAACCCTTATCAAACTCATGAATTCTTCTCGTTTTGTGAGACGATTTGATTGATTTTGATAACAATTCAGGTCGATCTAGTTCAGTTTTCTAGACAAATTTTCTTTTCTCGTTTAATTTTAAACCTAAAATCAAACCGTGGGAATCAATTTGATTGGTTGTGTGAGATCTCCCTAAGGTGGGAGAGTTGTTATAGGTTTGGTCGTAATGGACCTAAACAGACAATATCTACTAACAGTGGGCTTGAACGGTTATAGATTTGGGCTCGGACCTAAACCGAACCAAATTGGAAGGTTTGTTTAAAATTTGAATGGCGAGGTTGTTCTGTTCTCTTCATTACATTACCCTATTGGTTGGTATTTGTTTGGATGCAGATTTCCATGTCCTACATTTGTGTGAAAAAGGTTAAAATTTGACCCAATTTTTACATCATTTTTTTAACCACTCTCTATCTTACTGACTTCATCTCTCTCTTGTTCAAATCAAAGCCTTAAATGCTAAAAATAAATATATATATTTAAAAATTAAAAAATTGTCACTGTCTTTGCATTTATGACCTGTTTTAAATAATTCCAAGCTTTGTATATTGCACAGAGAATGTAAAATTCAAAGGCTGCACCATTTGTTTATTAACTTTTTAATTTATTTTATTTAAACTAAAAAGTTAAAATTATTTCTAAAATATGCTTTAATAACTCAATTCAATTTTATATTTTAATTCCATTAAAAATATATATATACTAGTTGCAGTAAAAATCTTACTCGAGTGTCAATTAAGCGGTAAAATACATATATTCTCCATCAACGTAGTAGTAAAAATCATACTGAACTGTCATTTTTTAGTATAGTTAAGCGGTAAAATACATATATTCTTCATCAACGTAGTAGTAAAAATCATACTGAACTGTCATTTTTTGGTATAGTTAAGCGGTAAAATACATATATTCTCCATCAACGTTACAGTAAAAATCATACCGAAGTGTCAAATTGAGCATAATTATGCAGTAAAATACATATATTCCCTGTCAATGTGGTAGTAAAAATCATACTAAAGTGTTATATTGAGTATAGTTTAGCGGTAATTTACATGTATTCTCGACCAAGGGACCAAAGATTCGAATTCTCTTACTGCAAGCGTTATTGAACTATGTATGTATGGGATAATTTTTTCTGTCGACCTAGCAGTAAAAATCATATTGAAGTGTCCTATTGAATTCTCTTACAAATTCGATCCTATTTTTAAAGTAAAAATCATATCGAATTTGTATAAGAAGGTGTTAATTTCTTTGATTCAAAGAGTTCATGCTCCAACAAAAAAAGCTTGGATCGTCGGGTTGAAGATTAGGGTTGCCTTATCACACGATTTCACTCAGCAAGAACTATGAATCATTTTCTTCAATTAGTTCACCATGTTCGTCATAAATGATTTTCTTGCCCTCTAATGACTTAGCTCAATTTTTTTTATTGCTAAATGTCACGGGCCTAAATGCTAAACTATTGACCTTACTTGTCTGGATATAAAATTTTCAACGAGATCTTTCGATAAGGGATATGCTTATATATTTGTGTAAAAAATGGTTTAATTTTTCACTTACTAGCCAACTCGAACACAATTCAAAAGATAAAACTCTTATTATAACAACCTCAAAACCTCGACGGTTCGATCTTGACTTACATAATCGTTAAACGAAATGAATAAAAAATAAATTAGCAAACAAAATGGTATAGTAAGTTCATACCCATACGTCACATAACTCGGTCCGTCAACAACCAGTTCTAACATTCAAGAACAATTCAATAGATTAGACGTTTATTATCATCTCAAAATTAGTCCATAGTTCGATCCTCAAGACGTTGACTAATTGATCCGACTCCAAAAGAAGAATGAAAGAGACAAAAGGGTGGAAGTTAAAAACTTTAAATCACCCATCCTTCTCTAGTACTTTTTACCCATGTGTTGAGCTGCAACAATTGCATAGTCAAGTCACTATTAGTACTTGTAACGCCCTACGTGTCTTCGTTCATCATATGAGAAAGTTCGAAAATTTGTTGGCAAACTCTCGGGAAAATTCGATTCAAATTTCTAAGTCCGGTAAATTATGTTTGAGCTAGCGGGTATGCTCTTAATGTCATAAATAAGCATATATTTTCTCATTTGAAAGCAAAAAACAAAAAGACCCGACATTCACTTTTAAGACTGGAAGACTACTATTCCCACAAACCAACACGGATTCTTTTAACTTGTTTGCCTTCGTTTAAGAGGTCACTCAACACAAAATTGCTATAAGCTAAACACGTTTAGCTTGGAAGTTTCTAGAATTTGGCGATTGAAAAGGAACGTAGCCAGCTTGTTAGATTGAATTGATCAGGTTTTTTTTGAAGACGTGATATTTTCCTTTTATTTTCTAATTTTTTTTTTAATTATTATATTAGGTAAGTTTTTTATTAGCCAATTTTTTCCCAATTAAAAAAATAAATTAATGGATTAAATTGAAAAAGAAATTAAAACATATATTTAACAAAATAATAATAATGGTAATATTAATAATTAAAAAGACAATATTGGACCCAAAAAGAAAGAGTCCAATGCGCTTCTTAATTTCGATTTCGAATTCCTTTCCCCCAATTCCTTATCCCTTCTCCCTCGGTCCACTTAGCTCAAAGCCCAATTTCTCTCTCTCTCTCTCCTGTAAAACCCTAGATCTGAATCCATCGCCGGCTCTGCTGCTCCGTCGCCGGCCTTCCGACGCTCATTCAAGACCTCTTCGTCTTCCTTCTCTCCATCGGAATTTCGGGTAAGTTTCCTTCTCTCTTTCTTGCTTCATTTCTTGGAAGTTTCGTTCGTGAGGTTGAGGATGAATCGTGCGGTGTTTTCCTTGTTTTCTTTGTTTTCTACGCCTTCCGTTATGTAGGTGGAACTGTAATTTATATTGTTCATACTGTTTATCCTTTGTGTTTGTGAACATTGGGTGGTTTGGCCTTGATTTTGGGTTTTGCTTGTTGTTTCGTTTCGGATTCATTCGTTTGAATTCTGTAAGGCTCGGCCGATTGTATGTTTGGGAGTGATTCGATCGTTTTTTTTTTCCTTTCGATTCTATGGATTTTGATCTGGGCTGTTTGCTGGAAATTCTGTGAAGCCCAAAGCTTGATCGAACCGAACCCTAGATCATAATTTGAGTTACCCTTTAGCCCGTGGACGAAATTCTTAGAACCCACAAAAATAAAAATAACAGATTATCCTTTTTGACTTGGTTGAACATATCTGGGCTCCAGGTGGGCTGGTGGTGGATTTTCGAGTGGCGCTTGCGTTGAAATTATATATAAAAAAAAAAAGCTTCTTGTTCTTATCAGCTATACATAAAGTGGCCCCGTTCGGCCTTTTTTCTTGCCAAAACTGATATGCCATCTTCAATGGGCCCCGGATCTACTTGTACGGCCCATGTCAAAATAAATCAAAGTTTCTTACAAATTGGAAAATATCCCTTTTCTTTTTCTATGAACTGAAAAAATGGCTGATTTCATTATATTAATACGAAGCCTGCCTTTGCGTCAGTATCATCGTTGTCTTTTGGCTCCTAAATTTAGTGGAGGCAATGTTTAGGATACCATTTTCTTAGTGCAACCGTACAGACCTTTCATAATGGGGTTTATCTTTTTCGTCTTAGTTTTATTTTAGAAAATTTCAAGGAGGAAATTTGGAAAAAGGAGACGTATCCAAAGTCCAAAACAACCTTGATGAATCTTTTTAGTCTGTTTTAATCTGATGCTGATTTATAAGCTTATGCTACATGCCGTACAAGTTCTTTATTTGGCATAGGCATCAACTAGAAAATTTTGTTTGACTTTGTTTTATAGGAAACTGTTTCTTTCCGGTTCCTGCTTGAAACCTGTGAGATGGTGTTTTGTTTTGTTATGCGTGTTGGCTTTCTAGTTGATATTGATCATTGTTGTACTTGTATGTAGCTTCATTATGTTGGTAGATGTATGATTCTTTTTTTCTTTAGGTGTGATATGAATCTCTGTGGAAAAGCAACGAGTTCATATACATTTAATGTAATTAAGTGAAAATAATTCAAGTTGGTTCCAACTTCTTTCTGTGTAAGAACGCCTACTTTGGTTTCAATTTCTTTTCATTTATAAATCATAACCTATGGCATGTTGTTCATACATGTATAAGTCGACTGTATAACGTTCTCTGAGGCATGCCACATGTTGTTTAACATTTAGTCATGTAATTTTAAGTGACCATAAGGCCAATACTTGACTGTTAACGGGGTAGTTTGTAGCATCTTGCAATTGACTATAAGGTCAGGCTATGTAATAACTTGTTTGTGTAATCTTGAAACTTAAAAGCTTCCATCCTTTGTTACCTCTGTTTTCCCGGCTGTTTGTTCATCCCCCGGTATTTATTCTTTCCTGTGATCTACAATTTAACTTCATAGGCTGTATTGGCATATCCTTTACTATGTCTAAAGCTATATGGTTACTCTGTAGCAGGAATTCTGTCTCCCAGTTCTAATGGATACGCCTCATGAAATGATGTTAACTCCCTATGTGGAAAAGACACCAAATTCTGATGAATATGGTGCACTGACCTCCACAGAAACGCAGCCTAGCAAAAGGAGGAAAAAGAAGTCCATTGTCTGGGAGCACTTCACCATCGAAACTGTAAGTGCTGGATGTAGAAGGGCATATTGTAAGCAATGCAAGCAGAGTTTTGCTTATAGTACAGGCTCAAAAGTAGCCGGTACCAGCCACCTTAAGCGGCATATTGCTAAGGGAATATGTGCTGCACTTCTACGAAATCGGGACAAAAGTCATTTAACACCATCTACCCCTGCTTCCAAAGGAAGTGATCCACCAAAACGACGTTATAGAAGCCCCAACTCATCAGTCATCATGTTCGATCAGGATCGTTGTTGCCATGAATTCACTCGGATGGTAATAATGCATGATTACCAACCCCACATGGTTGAAAATGCTGGATTTGTATCTTTTGTACAGAATATTCAACCACGATTTAATGTGATGGATTTCGACCATTTCCAAGGGGATTGCATTGGAACCTACCTATCAGAAAAGCAAAATGTCATCAAAGTCATTGAGAGTATTCCAGGACGTGTTTGTCTTTCACTGGACATGTGGACATCGAGTAAAACTGTCGGTTATGCTGTAATAACAGGTCATTTTGTCGATAGCGATTGGAAGTTGCACAGGCGGATTCTCAGTGTGGTTATGGAACCCTATCCTAATTCTGATACAGCACTTTGTCATGCAGTTTCAGAATGCCTTTCTGATTGGAATTTGGAAGGTAAGCTGTTTTCTATCACCTTTAATCACCCTGCCACTGAGTCTGCACTTGGAAATTTGAGGCCCTTGCTTGCCATCAAAAACTCCCTGATCCTGAATGGCCAATTTTTGGTTAGTAATTGCATAGCACGTACGTTAAGCAGTATCGCAAAAGACGTGTTAGATGCTGGAGCGGATATCGTTAAGAAAATCCGTGATTGCGTAAAGTATGTCAAGTTGTCCGAGTCGAATGAGGCAAAGTTTCTTGAACTCAAAGAACAGCTCCAGGTCCCAACCGAGAGAAGCCTATGTCTGGACGACCTAACGCAATGGAACACAACGTATCTAATGCTGATTGCTGCATTCGAGTTGAAAGAAGTGTTTTCGTGCTTGGATAATTCCGATCCTGATTACACCGAAGTGCCCACAAGGGACGATTGGAGGCAAGTTGAGACTCTTTGCACATGTTTGAAAGTCCTCTTTGATGCTGCAAATATTCTCAGCGTCATAAACAACCCATCCGTGATTACCTTTTTTCACGAAGTATGGAGGATTCACTTGGAGCTAGCCCGTGCACTCACTAGCGAAGATCCATTCACTTGCAGCCTCTCTCAAATGATGCAAAAAAAGATCGACAAATATTGGAAGGACTGTGGCCTGATTTTGGCTGCAGCTGTAGTTATGGATCCAAGGTTCAAGATGAAACTCGTCGAGTTTAGTTTCAATAAACTTTATGGCGAAGAAGCTCCTGCTTATATTAAGATTGTCGATGATGGGATCCGTGAACTCTTCCAGGAATACATCACACTTCCTTTACCTCTAACGCCGACGTACGCCGACGAAGGAAATGGAGGAAGCTACATGAAGTCAGAAGGACCCCAGACTGGAAGTCTCCTGTCAGACAACGGACTCACAGATTTTGATGTCTACATTATGGAGACTTCAAGCCAACAAATGAAATCAGAACTCGATCAGTATCTCGCCGAATCTCTGCTGCCCCGTGTGCAGGACTTCGACTTATTAGGCTGGTGGAAGCAAAACAAGATGAAGTATCCAACTCTTTCATCAATGGCTCGAGATATTTTATCAATACCAGTCTGTACTCTTCCTCCTGATTCCATATTCGATATGGAGATTAAGGAGATGGATTCATATCGGAGTTTGATGCGACCAGCTACGGTCGAAGCAATTATATGTACACGGGACTGGATCCAATGTGGATTTACAGAAGTTTCTAATGCAATTGTAAAAATGGAATATTAGAGGCTAGCCCTTTCTTAGTGTCCTTGATGTATTTTTTTTTAGGCTATGGAATCATATATATCCTTTAGAGAAGAATCTCTTAGTCGCCATTAACGTAGCTTCTGTACTCTAATTTCCTCTACAGGTTGAAGAGAGAGATTGGAATCAGATCTTAGCTGCTATCTGATGCAGAATGGGTAAATTTCTTCTGGCCAATCGAATATTCTCTTGATATTCTTTCCATGACTTGTTCATTGGTGGATCAATATCTTGATTGTTTGTGGAGACAGATTCAGAATGGGTAAATTCTTTGGAGTTGTATCCATAAAAATGATTCTGTGTAGACTTCTTTAATGAGATTTAGGCTCTTTGTTTGAAAATTATACGTGAATAGATTGTCCCTTGGGCCCTAGGTCGTGACACACGGTTAGAATTCTATCTCTTCCAGTGATGGCTCAACCTCCTGGAAGGGGCCTTATTCTCCCTCCACCTAAGCTGCGTAGGAAAGGCCCAAAGCCAATCCTAGGGAATAGTGAAGCTCCATAGGGTCTTTCTGTTCGAGTGCAAGTCACTTCATAGGGTCTTTCTGTCCAAGTGCAGGTAGTCCGCATCTTCACAGACATGTCTATTTTGCCTTCTTCGCTCTCCACCTAAGCTGTCCAAGGAAAGCCCAAAGCCAATCTAGGGAACAGTGAATCTTCATAGGGTCTTTTTGTCTAGGTGTAGGGAGTTCACATCTTCACAGACATGTTTATTTCACCGAGCCTCTCTTTGAGACAGTGCCCAGATCGTTGCACCTTTCGTGCGAGTCGGACATTCAAATAATTTGCACACACGTGAATTATTGTCTTTAAAGCCAACTTAAAAGCTTGTTTTAGGAAAATTTGAAAAAAAAAAGTATTTAAATTTAACAAAATGTGTTTTTATAATATATTTATAGGCAATAAAAACGAGTTGTAGTTGCAAAATAGGTGGAATTTATTAATATGATTGTTGTTATACATTTTTTCTATAATTACTATTAGAATATCATATAATTTATAATATATCATATCATATATATATAATATCATATTTATTAAGGTGTTTATCTTCTCAAAATAATTTAAATTAACAAAATTTTTAATATTTACTTATAGAAGAATTTAAAAAAATAAGATTACGAAAAGCATATTCAGCTAATTTAATAAATTGGAAAATATAAAATAAACCAAAATAAATATAAATTTAAAATTGTTAAAAAACGAACCACAGCTCCACAGCCCCACGAATGGCCGAGCCAGATTGGGACAAGTTATGGTGGGGCCCATGCCTATAAACCTCGCCACGTGTTCCCTACTGATACATTTTCTGACTCCGCCAGTTTTTCTTATTCTCTCCTCTGTTTAACGCTTTAATTAAGGACGCTATTTCAGTGAGATGCAAGAAAGAACGTGAGAGCTTCAAGGCTTGAAGCTATGGCGTCCGGTAGAACTGAGATAGGTCTCCCAGTGCTGCAGAAGGATGGAGGAGATCATGGGAGAAAAGGATCCGCCATGACTAAACGAGGAGCTTATGCAGCCATTTCTTACATGGCTTCCGCTGGTTCGTTTTTCACTTTTCTTCTCTCGATCATGTAGTTCTTCGTTGTTTTTCGTTGATTTCTGGATTTTCTTACTTTTTCTATCGAAATTTATCTTTGCTTATGCGTTTATTATATACTGTGTGTTTTTTTGCATGAAAAATGGAAATCCGCTTGAGATTTTTGTTCTGTCGTTGTACTGCCACTGCTACTTGTTTGTTTCTTTTTCGCTTTTCGAAGCTTCCAAATTCCTTTGGAGGAAGAAATAAAGAACAGAAAGAAAGAAATCGACGTCTGTTTTAACCTTGTGTAATTTGGTTTCTTAGATTGTTTGTTTGATTTTTGAAGAATATTATTGAACAAATCTTTGCTTCAGTTCATGAGAGTAATACTCAGAGTTTTGTTATTTTACCGTTCTCACGGGTAAAGTTGTGAATCATGAATGATTATGTTGGGAATTGGGAAGAGGATGACTTTCAATGGGATGTACTTACTGCTAGAATGACATTCTCCCTCTCATTACACTATGTTTTCGTCTTTTTGAATATTTTTTTTAAAATATGGGTGGACCCCACGTCTTTTTTAAAAGGATGCAAGCGAGTAGTACTGTGAGATCACACATCGGTTGGGGAAGGGAACGAAACATTCTTTATACGGGTGTGGTAACAGACGAGTTTTGAAAACATTGAGGGAAGTCTGATAGGAAAAGCCCAAAGAGGACAATATCTACTTGCTATGAGCTTAGACTGTTACCTATGCGAGGGAAGACGCTGGGCCCGAAGGGGGAGGGGTGGATTGTGAGATCCCACGTCGGTTGGAGAGGGGAACGAATGCTTATTTATACGAGTGTGGAAAACTTTTCCTAACATACGCGTTTTAAAAACCTTGAGGGAAAGCCCAAAGAGGACAATATCTGCTAGTGGTGGGTTTGGGTCGTACATGTACAAAAAATGTTGAGATACGAGGATTTGAAACTACGACCTCAAGAGAGAGTACACGTCAGTTACCGTTAAGTTATACTCACTTTGATGTGAATGTGTCATTTTGACAATATAAATGGAAGGAGTATCCACACTTGAGTAGTACTTGAAATCTTTTTTGGGTTATGAGACTTATGGTGGGGGAGAAAGGCCAAATTATTTAAGATTATCTTCATCTAGTTTGACGACTTTTAGTGGTGAAAGACTTTTAAAGTGCCTACAAAAGTCTAGAGAATAAAGTTGTGTATAATGTACTTCTAGGCTCACTATATGTATATGATGGGACGATAGACAGAAAGTGAGTGAGCAAGTGGTGGGTCTTTAGAGATGAAAAGAGGGAGAGAGTGCATGGTGGGTCTTGGAAGATGAAAGGAATGTTTAGTGGAATACGAATGAGATAGAATCTCTAATGTTAGTGAAATGACAAGCTTGAATAATGGTGGAGGGTGCCTACTCCACGCTTAAAAAGGTTCAAAGTTTCCAGAAAAAAGGCAAGTTCCTTTCTCTCTTTTTTACACGTCACGATAAAATTAGCTAGAAATTATTATTGTGCATAAGTTTATAACATATGCTTAGATTTTTCATGTGGGTAGTTGTTATATGTTACTAATGGTTATGGGTATGATTACACGGCCGTAATTCAGTTCTCAGAACGTTTAAGAATTATGAAATATTGTATTTGAAATCGTGGAGAATATTGAAAGTGTAATAGCCCAAGCCCATCGCTAGTAGATATTGTTCTCTTTGAGATTTTCTTTTCGGGCTTCCCCTTAAAGTTTTTAAAACATAGGGAGAGGTTTTCACACCCTTATAAAGAATGTTTTGTTCCCCTCTCCAATCGATGTGGGATCTCACAATCTACACCCCTTTGGGGCCCAATGTCCTCGCTGACACTTGTTCCCCTCTTCAATTGATGTGGGATCTCACAATCCACCTCTCTTCGGGGCCTAGTGAGCTGGCACACGTTCCCCTCTCCAATCAATGTGAGATCTCACAAAAATGATGTTTCCAAGGATGGACTTAATAGAATTATTGTTTTTGAAAATCGTTTTTAAGTACAAGCTAGCCAAATGCAAATTCAGCTCACTCATTTGATATTGTTGGATATTGAGCAACCCCCTTAATCTTCCAAGTCTTCCTGTCATTCCTTGTTTATATCCAAGTGAAGTCTAAATTAGCTAATGGATTAATGGTTTAAGCGATCTTATTCTTTCTAGTAATTACAATCAAGAGAAATTATAGGAAGTTCCATTTGATATTGTTGATTAATGCACTTTTCAAGGGATAAGAATTGTGTTTGGGCACTGTTCTTAGAGTTGGATGTTGCGGTGTTGGAGTAACAATATCTATATGTTAAGTATAGATAAGATAATCATTGCTTGGCTTCTTTCAATGGACTAATAATTATTATCACTACGTTCTTGAGTAATTTTTTTTTACTTTACTTTTTAGAGATTAATAGTTTCAACACTGGTTTAGTGCATATTGTAATTTCTGGCTGCTTCAATTATTGACTTGATAAACTTGTTTGTATTTAGTTTTACTATGATATTGTGTCGTCATCCCTTCTGCAGTTCTGTTGCTAATGTTCAACAAAGCAGCTCTTTCTTCTTACAACTTTCCATGTGCCAATGTCATCACTCTTTTCCAGGTAAACGATTTGTTGAATTGTCTGGATATTTGCTTTCCGCCCCAAATATTCGTTTTTCTTTACGACGGATTTCATTTTTATTATTTCATATGCACACAAGTCTGTTTATTATCTTCTATATATGATATGAGACCAACAAAGAAAAGAAATGGCATGATAATTTATATATACCAATGGAGGAATGAATAAAAAATGTGGAAAACGAGGCCCGGGATGTAGTGTAACATGGTAGCGCATTTGTCTTGGGTACAAAATGTCTCGCTCGTCTCTTGATGGTTCGTACTGATGAACCAATCAATGAGATGATGATGGATACCTACTTTAGGACTACTCTCTCGTCTCGGATTCCTTTGAAGAAAGGAGTACTATGGTACTTCGTGACTTGGTAGTGAGGATATCGACGTTAGACAAGCATAGTGGCCCTTAACGAGGATTTAATATCGTATAAGTTACCTTGGCAACCAAATGTAGTAAAGTTAGGTGGTTGTTCAATGAAATTAGACGAGTTGTGCTTAAGCTGGCCTAGACACTCACAATTTGTTCTTTTCAGATTATGTGTTCGTGCACGCTTCTTTACATATTGCATCGCCGGAGGATTATCTCTTTTACAGTGGGTGAATCTCAAATCATCGGTGCTGGAAAGTCGATCCTTGTACCTTATAAGACTTTGGTTCAAACACTTCCCCTCTCCATATCATATTTGCTTTACATGGTATGTATCTTATGGTATAATATATTTCATTTTATTTATTGAAACCTTTGTAAAATCTGCTAACAAGATTTTCCCTGATAAAGCTTGTGACTATGGAATCTGTTCGTGGGATCAACGTTCCCATGTATACAACATTGAGGAGGACTACCGTCGCATTTACGATGGTTGCCGAGTACTTGTTGACCGGGCAGCGTCATTCGCTTTTTGTTGTTGGCAGGTAGGCAAGCATGTTGTATAGATTTGCCCTTCTAATTGTATTCGACTCTTTTAACAATTTTTTCCTTTCATCATCGATATCGTGCTCTATAGTGACAAATTGTAACAGCCCAAGCTCACATCGATTGGAGAGGGGAACGAGCGTTAGCGAGGACGCTAGGCCCAAAAGGGGGTGAATTGTGAGATCCCACATCAGTTGGGGGAGGGAAATGAAACATTCTTGATAAGGGTGTGGAAACCTCTTCCTAGTAGATGTGTTTTAAAACCGTGAGGCCAATGACGATACGTAACGGACCGAAGCGGACAATATCTGCTAGCGGTGGACTTGGGCTGTTATACAAATTTTGAGATATAAGGGTCTTACCATGATGCCTGTTTCTATCACTCTATAAGCGAAAAAAAAAATGGTTCCTTCCCTTCTTTTAAATATTTTAGATTTTAGATGTTTTAGTTAGAATCTTTAATAAACAAGACAGTGGCATGGCTGTGAACTCAATCTTTTCACATTCATTAGTTTTGTATATGCATATTTGCAATGCTAATTCATTCCTACTTGATAATTCCAAGGATTCATCAGTGTGGGGATGATTATACTTGGTGCAGTAGTGGCTGGAGCCAGGGATTTGTCATTTGACGCCTACTCCTATGCTGTGGTCTGCATTGCAAATATATGTACCGCTATATATCTCGCTTCTATTGCTCGTATCGGTAATAACAGTTCTTCTTTGTGCTCGCTTATCTAACGTTGATGTCGTGGCACGTTTTGTATGACCCTTTTAAGTACTTCCAGGGAAATCCAGTGGTCTAAATACCTTTGGCCTTATGTGGTGTAATGGTTAGAGGACTTCCTCTCAATGTTTTGAAGCTTTTGGATTCAACTTATCTGAACTGACCATAAAATGGTTTTCTTATATTTGTAGGAGTAGTATGTGGACCTCTTTTGCTATTCTGGATATCAATCAGGGGAGACATCGAAACGGCGTTAAATTTTCGGTACCTGTCGTCCTTTGGCTTCCAGGTATCTGTTCCTATTGTGTTGCTGAATTAGTCATGCTTTAATCCAGGCTCAGTTTAAATCGACAGTTCTTAGTTTCTTGCCTTTACTCGTACTTGCAGACTGTGATGCTTCTCTCTTGTATAATGGCTTTCTTGATCAACTACTTTGTATTTCTGAACACCACTCTCAATTCAGCATTGACACAAACAGTCTGCGGTAATTTGAAGGTGAGTAGTGCTTAGTTCCTCCTACATTGGCTTATGCTATATAGAACATGAACTCTTCCTCAAACACGGTCTCTTCAAGGGCATGGCACGAGTTTTGGTGGATTCCGTTCTCACGGGAGGAAATGGTTCCTTTTCACATGAGAGATCATGACCTCCATAAGTAGGTGACTGTCATTGTGAGATCCCACATCGGTTGGAGAAGGGAACGAAACATTCCTTATAAGAGTGGAAATCTCTCCCCAACCGACGTGTTTTAAAATCTTGAGGGGAAGCCCAGAAGGGAAAAATCAATGATGACAATATCTACTAGCGGTGGGCTTGGGCTGTTACAAATAGTATCAGAGATAGACACTGAGTCGTGTGCCAGCGAAGACGCTGGGCCCCCAAGGAAGGTGGATTGTGAGATCCCACATTGGTTGGAGAGGAGAACGAAACATTCTTTATAAGGGTGTGGAAACCTCTCCCTAATAGACGCACTTTAAAACCTTGAGGGGAAGCCCAGAAAAGAAAACCCAAAGAGGACAATATCTGTTAGCGGTGGTCCTTGGACTTTTACAAATGATATTAGAGGCAGACACCGAACGGTGTGCCAGCGAGGACGCTGGGCCCCCAAAGGGGGTGGATTGTGAGATCCCACATCTGTTGGAAAGGGGAACGAAACATTTCATATAAGGGTGTGAAAACCTCTCCCTAACAGATGAATTTTAAAACCTTGAGGTGAAGCCCATAAGGAAAAGTCCAGAGAGTACAATATCTACTAGTGATGGGCTTGGGCGGTTACAGCCATAGTTTGACTTTTCATTCCCCTTAAACTCTTTCTTATTCACGAGGCCCTTATTTGACCACTCGACCAAACCACGATGGTTAAGAATTATCGATATGGGTGTACTAGTTCGAAAAACTCTAGCTTGGTCCAAACTATTTGTCTAGACGATATTGTGGCATTTAGTATGTGAAGACATCTAGACCAATGCTTGTTTTCCTTACTTTCGAACGCTTTATAATAGGACGTTTTCAGCATCGGGCTCGGCTGGTTTCTGTTCGGTGGCCTTCCCTTCGATTTCGTAAGCCTAAGCCGCCCTCTTTACATTAAGCTTTGATACAATTTTGTTTTGTTTTACCTTGTTTAACTTGTTAGGCTTTCTTCTGGTGTTTTTTTAGTTTAATGTTCTTGGGCAGTCGCTTGGCTTTCTGGGATCTTGCATATATGCCTATTGCAAGCTTCATGGGAAATAGGATCAAGATGGGGCTGCCTCCTAGGCCTTGAGTCATAGTAAGTTAATATTGTGCTGACATACTGCTTAACTTGTCAGCTGCCAAATTTTGATGAAATCTCTTCATGTTCTTATGAAAAGAGAGAACAAAAGGGGAAAAAAATGCTGTTGAATCACATTTTTGTGCATGAAAACATCATATTCTTATCTATCTAAGTTTCGAGTGAGTCTTTCTCTCTCCCTCGCGCTTTCACGAGCACACACTAAGGACCTGTTTGGAATAACTTTAGTGCAAAATGTTTCTTGGAACACTTTGAAAATCATTCCAAATAATTATTCGAGTCAAGTTGTGAGCTTCTTTAAGATGTTGATCGTGAATAATTATTTTAGGTTTAAAACCTGATATAATCTCGGTACTTTCGGTTTTGATTTGTTTTGGTCTCTTTACTTTCAGGCCTTCCATTTTAGTCCCTATACATTCAAGTTTTATTCATTTTAGTCCTCGAATCTTTCTTTCAAATTACCTATTTAAAAAAATAAAAATGAAGACCAAATGATTGCTTTTAAAATTACACACGCTAACATGAACAAAAATTGTAATTACATGAGAAAATTTGGAATAATGAAGAATGACTTAAGTTTTTTAATTGATTTGATAAAATATAAATGGTTAAATTAATAAAATACTCGTGAATTTTATATTTGGTCTAAAAATACAAAGTTTTTAGAAATTTTAATAATAGCATTGCAATAAAAAAAAAAAAAATACTTTTACCACTTTTCTTTTAAAAGGTTGGTAAATACTTTTAAATTAATTTTTTTTTTATTTAAAAAAATTTAAAAATATTTTTATGTTAGTATCATTTTTTAAAATATTCGTATATAAGCATTAACTTTTAACTATTTTGACGAAAATCATTTATCTAGGACATGAATTTTCATGTATTTTTTATTAAAAAAAATTAAAAGTATTAATAAATTTTTAAAAATTAACTGTATTTTTTTAAGATTAAAAGATGATTTTTAAACAAATTATTAATAATTATTTTCTTGTTAAAAAAATTTAAAGGGATCATCAAAACTTTTCAACTAAATTAATAAAATTATTTTTAAATTTTCAAAATAAATAAATACATATATAAATAAATAAATAAATAAATATATATATATATATATATTGAGACATATATAACAAAAACCGAGTACAAAAGGCGCGGAGAATTTTGCTTTCCGAATCTCACCCACCGGCCTCCACCGCTTCTCTCTCTGGAAACTACTCTCTGTTTCTCTTCAGGCATCAGGCGGCGACGGACAGTTCACAGTAGACCTGCGATTGTCTCGCCGCCTTCTCGTTCGGTATTGTATCACTTCTTTACCTTTCTTTTAATTTCAATGTCTTTGTCTTGTGGTATATTTATTGTTGGGAAAATAGCTGAATGTTCCAGTAATTTGTTTTTGTATTTTGAAATGGGAGAATCCGACGCTGTTCATTGCCCATCGAACGTTCTGCCATTGCATTTTTCATCTGTATTTGCAAATAAGCAAAAGGGTTTAGAGGGAAAAGTTTTGAACTATGGATACCCATCTGACAAAGATTTTGAAAATTATTGAAAATCAAAAGTTGTGAAATTAGTGAAATCAAAAGAGTTCGATACTTACTTGTGAAATTAATTTATGTGTGCTCGGAGCTGACTTAAACAATCACGGATGGTATATTTGCAAACTAGTCATTGTTGAGGATGGTTGGGAGGGAATCCACATCAGCTAATTAAGGGGATAATCATGGGTTTATAATTATGAGTAAGGAAAACATCTCTTCTATTGGTATGGGGCATTTTAGAGAAACCAAAAGTAAAATCATGAGAGCTTATGCTCAAAGTGGACAATATCATTACCATTGTGGAGGTTTGTGGTTCTTTACATGGTATTAGAGCCATGCCTTTAACTTAGTCATGTCAATAGAATTCTCAAATTTCAAACAAAGAAGTTGTAAGCCACGAAGATGTAGTCAAAAGTGACTCAAGAGTCGAACAAAGGGTGTATTTTGTTCGATGGCTCTAGATAAAGGGGTCGAGCTTCGATTAAGAGGAGGCTGTTTGAGGGCTTCATAGGCTTCCGGGGAGACTCTATGATGTATTTTTTTCAAGGGGACGATTGTTGAGAGTTGTTGGGAGGGAGTCTTGGCTAATTAAGGGGATGATCATGAGTTTATAAGTAAGGAATACATCTCCATTGATATGAGGCCTTTTGGGGAAACCAAAAGTAAAGCCATGAGAGCTTATGCTCAAAGTAGACAATATCATACCATTGTGGAGGTTCGTGGTTCCTAACCGTCATCCCACTTATATCTGGCTTATCCCACACTTATATTTGTTCACATGGTAGAAAGGATTGTTTTGTGTCAATGTTAATGTTATTTGAAAATTTCTATTTTTATTTATTATTTTTCCTGATAACTCATTCCTTGAAATGTGAAGGAAGTCGGAATTTATATTTTTCTGATGACATAGTTTGCCTATGGAAGGATTTTCCATTGCTGTACCCATTTTTTTTTCTACTATGCATTCATGTAATGCTTTTTCTCACTCAGATAATTGTGGATGCAATGGATCTTTCTCCATTCAGGCTTGATATCGATGAGCTGATCAATGAATATGCTGAGGTAGCTCTTAAGTACTTTGAAGTTATGGAGATTTCCTGTTTGTGCTAACTTGCATATTGAAAAGATGTTAGTTGTTTAAATGTATAACCCCTGAGAAGTTTGGTTTACAGGGGGGGTTTACATCTTTTGCGGATATGAAGAAAGTATGGATTGGAAGAAAATTCACTTACATATTTGAGGCTGCTCCTTTGAACTTGGCGTTCTTTATGCAATCAATGTATGCCCAAACAATCGGTAGGCTCTGGCGTAATAAGTTCGGTCATCCATACATTAATTTGTTGGCCATTGGCGATTTCTTCTAAATTATGATGAACAAAGCTCTTTACTTCAAAGATTATGGTATCTAATACTTCGTTTTGCAGGTCACATGGTCAGTACTGCTTCTTTGTCACACAGACTGGGTGGCCTTTATTGCCTTTACAGCCTTTACGAGACACAACCCTTTAAGCCCTCTTACAAAATCTACCTGTCTATTGGTATGATTTTTCGAAGTTCTTTGATAATTATCTATAGATATATGTAAGTTTTTCCTAGCTCTTTGTTTGGGTGGACGTCTCTTGATTTCATGTTTACCTTTTCTTCTTTGGTTATTTTACGACACTACCACGTTTATAGGAGAGTTAAAGAAACTGAAGGAACTTATTGTCGAGGCAAAAGAAAAGAACGTAAAAGTGGCGTCTGCTGTGGTGAAAAGAATGTTAGAAAAGAACATGTTCCTCTTTGGATCTGTGGACATGAATGAGAACTCTGCTTTGGAAACAGTGAATCAACTAACAGAATTGCAAAATGCCCGCATTCGAGTTGCCTATGATAAGTACGTTCGAGACACAAACGGTTGTCCTTTTTGTTCTAGATTTATACTGTTCATGCCATGATATCTTTACAGCATCCTTGATTTCTACTTTTGGATGTCTAGGCTGTTTGCTGATACCCCAATAGAAGATTATATCCATATGAACTTGGTAAGTGAAAAAATACCAAAACTTACCCGATTCGCCTTGTTTCTGAACCATTATACTCCAGTACCTGTTTAACTAGCATTATGAACTCTTCCATGTTATTATCAACTATTTATCAGGGGATGGAAGCTGGTTTGAATATATTGAAAAAGATGTCATCAGATTATTCAGAGGCAAAGAAAGTTGCATTATATGGTAACTTCGTTCATCCCAATCATATTTGATCTCTCTATTCTCTCATGATTTTTGTTTCTTACTAAACTTTACGCCCATGTTTCTCTATGTTCGTCTTGGTACCAAAAGAAGCGAGTGAGATAGTGGATGTCCAGGATATAAAGCACATATCAGAGGATGAGGGATTGATTGGAGATACAGTTGAAAAGATTGTGGAGGACTGGAACGTTCAACGAGGAGTCTTTTACGAACAAGTTGGACATGACCAACAGCTTGCTCTAGTCGAGGCACACGAAGAGCAAGAACATCACGCTGATGAAAATTTCGACATGGAACTTGAAAGAATGCTCACTGATGTTCAACAAGGTACAGAGTCCTCTCTAATTCTAACTCTGAAAGATGGGGGTTCTTGAATTGCCGTATCATTCCCTTGCCTGATCTTCTATAAACAGCTTTATGACGTTTAACTAGCTGAAAGAGAGAGATCCTTAAACCTGATTCATATCCAAAATCCACCCCCATGTAGTGTAAATAGCAACGTTCTACACCCTTTATGTTCAATGTGATCAATAGCTTTCCTTAGAAAATGTTGTCACTTGCTCGGGCTAGCTTTCCTTATTGATGGCTCCTTTAGCATATAACATCTTCCCAACAATGAGCTTCCCGACAATGAGGGTTGAAAAGTTCAGGTTCATTTTACCTATGGAAACTTGTCTCGAACATGGTAGGAAATCTTTGTTTAAGTGGAAAATGTGGAGAACGTGATGAAAGGTTTCTCTCAACAATCAGAGTTGAAAATGTTTCATGTTTATTATTAGAGATGTTCATTTTACCTATGGATACCTGCCTCGGATGAGGTAGGAAATCACTGATTCAGTGCAAAATGTGGAAGGATGTGATGCTAGATAAGTAGGACGGAGATTATATTTCCTGACCTTGCTTCGACCTCATCCAAATCTCGAGGCAGGAAATCTATATTCGAGTGAAAAATGTGGAGGATGTGATGAAAGGTTTCTCGCGACAATTAAGATTGAAAAGGTTTCATGTTTATTGCTAGAGACGCTCATTTTACCTATGGAAACTTGCCTCGAACGAGGTAGGAATTCTATATTTAAGTGAAAAATGTGAAAGATGTGATGAAAGGTTTCTCTCCTAGCTAAGCCGGGTTGGGAACAGAGATTATATTCCCTGACCTTACACGATACGCCCTACCTTATGTTTTCACTTTTGAAATATTATTAGATTTATTTAATATCTATACATCAAAACACCTCAGACCTTAAGTAATTAGGAGACACAAATGAATAAAATGAGCTATCATGTTGGTCCACAATGCCACTTGCTCATAACATCATTTTCTTTATTAACCTCACATAAAGTTTTATTGGGACCCATATTATATCAATCATTTGTAAATTTTGCTAATATGCCCTCGTATTTTTGTTATATTTTTTTTTTATCCCTTTGGGTCTCTATCGATACTATTACAAATAGTATACACGATATCAATTATTAGCAACTTTTGCTCGTATTTTTATTATATTTCTTGTTGGTCCTTCTTATATTTAATACATATTTTTATAATTAGTTAATAATAGTAAATGATATGAATATCTAAAAAGGAATATTCTTAAAAATCACTATTAAATATTGACAAATGCATTAAAAAATACTTCGTGTTAACCAATAAATTAATTAGTGGTGTATTATATTTTAACGTCCACCACATACTTGAAATGCAAAAATAATTTGGCCCCCATGTTCTTCTTTTTTTTTTTTTCTTTTTTTTTAATAAAAAAAGATTGGATTTATTAAAATTTCAAACAATATATTTAAAACAAATCAATTATCAATATTTTCATTTTTTTTAATTATACTTCATTTATATATTAATACGATCTTATATCCTTTTCGTTGATTTGGTTAACCATATAAAATTTAATGAAAAATTAAAAAAAAAAAAAGTTGAATCCAAAATTTTGAAGTGATATATTTTGTAATTCTTTAAAAATTTAGGGTATATTTCAAAAGTTTATAGTATTTTTTAAATAAATTATTCCTTGCCTTCAAAAAAAATTAAGTATTTTTTATTTTTAAATTAAGAATGATATTAAAAGTTTTAAAAGTTCAATCATATTTAATACGATACATGCTTGTGATCTTGACATTGTTCATGACAATCTTTAGGGAACTCATGCCTCATTTCTATTCTTCGTTCGTTTTGGAGTTTGGGAGTTTGGTCGAAGATTAGGTGGATTATCTTTTGATTTTGCTAACCAAACATACAACTCGTGCTTGCATGCTAACTTGCTTCGGCTCGATGAGCCGCTAATACTAGACCAAGGTTGTGTGTGTGTGTGTATATACAGGTATATATATATACAACTAAAAGAATATCCAAAACCCAAGGAGGGGATGATGCCAAATGCGGTGTGTTAAAAATGGCGCCGGATTCAAGTTACCGTTCATGAAGCAGAAGAAGATTCGGATCTTCCTCAACGAACATTCTCATTCTCAAAGCAAAATAGGAATCTCATGTGCATATTTCAATGGCGCCATTCTCTGCCAACTCACACAACTTCATTTCCTTCTCAACACCCACTAATCAAAATTCCCTCTCAACCGATCCCTCTTTTTCTCTCTAATTTCCCTCGATTTACAGCGTTTAATTTCAGGGTCTTGCGCTCAATACCCTCTCCTCCATCATTCTCTTCCCCTTTTCCCGCCTTCTCCGCCATTCACAGCGGCCGGAGTTAAGTGGGTCTCGTTTTGACTTCTCTGATTCTGTTTATTTTTTGGTGGATTGTTGGTTATGTCTGTCGTTACGCCCAGGTCTGTTACAGAGAAGGTGTTTCAGAGGGTGGGAGGGCATTATCAAAGTAGTACGCATAGGATCTGTGGGAATGAGTTTAAAGAGGAGGATTATGATGATGATGGGACTTTGGAAATGGTTCAGATTGGAGCCGAGAGGACCAAGAATGTTCTTATTTTGATGAGTGATACAGGCGGTGGCCATAGAGCCTCTGCGGAGGCCATTCGAGATGCGTTTCGGATTGAATTTGGCGATGAGTATCAGGTGAGTTTTTCTTTTCTGGGTTTTGAGTTTTTTTCTTATTTACATGTTGATTCATGTTCTTTTGTTACTTAAATGATTTTCTCTTTTGGGTTTTGAGATTTTTGCTACTTACATTTTGTTTCATGTTCTTTTGTGATCTTCATCTCTGGTTAATCGTGCGATTTGTTGGTTATTTGCTGAAATTCTTGTGGAATTTTTCTTGTGTATCAAGTTACTTGAATGATTTTCTCTTCTGGGTTTTGAGTTTCTTTTTTCCTGATTTACATTTTGCTTCATACGTTGTGGATTGTTCGAGGACTCTAGAGAAGGAGTCGAGACTCGATTAAGGGGAGGCTGTTCGAGGGTTCCATAGGTCCTCTATAGGGTACTTTGTTCGAGGGGAGAGTAGTTGAGGATTGTTGGAAGGGAGTCCTACATTGGCTAATTTAGGGAATGATCATGGGTATATAAGTAAGGAATACATCTCCATTGGTATGAGACCTTTTAGGGAGCCCAAAGCAAAGCCATGAGAGCTTATGCTCAAAGTGGACAATATCGTACCATTGTGGAGATCCGTGATTCTTAACATGGTATCAGAGTCATGCTCTTAACTTATCCATGTTAATAGAATCCTCAAGTGTCGAACAAAAGGTGTTTTTTATTTGAGGTCTCCAGAAAAGGAGTAGAGTCTCAATTAAGGGGAGACTGTTTAAGGGTTCCATAGGTCTCAGGGGAGGCTCTATGGTGTACTTTGATCGAGGGGAGGATTGTTGAAGATTATTGGGAGAGAGTCCCACATTGGCTAATTTAGAAAATGATCATGGGTTTATAAGCAAGGAATACATCTCCATTGGTATGAGGTTTTTTGGGGAAGCTCAAAGCAAAGCTACGAGAGCTTATTCTCAAAGTGGACAATAGCATACCATTATGGAGGTCGTGATTCTTAACATGGTATCAGAGCCATGTCCTTAGCCATGTGAATAGAATCCTCAAATGTCAAACAAAGAAGTTGGGACCCTCAAATGTGTAGTCAAAAGTGACTCAAGCGTCGAACAAAAGGTGTACTTTGTTCAAGGACTCTAGAGAAGGAGTCGAGCCTCGATCAAGTGGAGACTCTATGGGGTACTTTGTTCGAGGGGAGGATCGTTGAGGATTGTTAGGAGGGAGTCGTCCCACGTTGGCTAATTAAGTAAATGGTCATGGGTTTATAAGTAAAGAATACGTTCTTATTGCTATGAGGCCTTTTGGCAAAACCATGAGAGTTTTTTTCAGCATTCGTTTGTTCTTGTGGAGAGTCGTGATTCCTAACACCATGTTCGTTCAGCCTCGTTTAATCATTTAATCATGAGATTTGTTGATTATTTGCTGAAAATCTTGCTGAAAACGATCAGATTCGGCTTGTAAGTTACCTCTCTGTTTCTCTTTTAGCCTCTCCTTTACGTGGAAGTCTTGTAAACGTGCCATTTTATGCTTGTTCTTAAGATATCTTTGTGTATGCGTAAAGATCTTGCAATTTTAGGCTTCTATCTGTCAAAATTTGTTGTGTGAATCTTCTTGTAAGCGATTTCTTGCTTAACATTGTGCACAAGTCATCTATATTGTAAGAGAAGAATGCTAGCTCAAATCTCTTGTTCATTTTCCAGATATTCGTAAAGGATGTTTGGAAAGAGTATACGGGTTGGCCTTTGAATGACATGGAGAGATCTTACAAGTTCATGGTAAAGCATGTTCAGCTATGGAAGGTTGCATTTCATAGTACCTCTCCTCGGTGGATTCATTCAGTCTATCTTGCTGCCATTGCCGCTTACTATGCAAAGTATATATAACAATCTTTTCAATATGTTCTTAGCTCTACTCTCTGTTGTTAGTTATTATCATATTTGAATGTCCAAGTGAGCCATGGTTTGCCTCATGATAGCTTATGCTCAAAGTGGACGATATCATACCATTGTGGAGAATCGTGGATTCTAATAAGATATTAGAGTCATGCTCTTAACTTAGCCATGTCAATAGAAACCTCAAGTGTCGATTGACGAAGTTGTGAGCCTCGAAGGTGTAGTCTAAAGTGACTAAAGTGTCGAACATAGGGTGTACTTTGTTTGAGGGCTCCAGAGAAAGGAGTCGAGCCTCAATTAAGGGGAGGTTGTTCGAGGGCTCTATAGGTCTTAGGGGAGGCTCTATGATGTACTTTGTTCCTGGGGAGGATTGTTGAGGATATTGAAAGGAATACATCTCTATTGGTATGAGGCCTTTTGGGGAAACCAAAAGCAAAACCATGAGAGCTTATGCTCAAAGTGACAGTATCATACCATTATGGAGAGTCGTGGTTTCTAATATGGTATTAGAGGCATGCCCTTAACTTAGCCATGTCAATAGAAACTTCAAGTGTTAGACTAAAAAAGTTGTGAGCCTCGAAGGTGTAGTCAAAAGTGACTCAAGTATCGAACAAAATGTGTACTTTGTTCGAGGGCTACAGAGAAAGGAGTCGAGCCTCGATTAATGGGAGGCTGTTCGAGGGGAGGATTGTTGAGGATTATTGAAAGAAGTAGTCCCACGTTGGCTAAGTAAGGAACACATCTGCATTGGGATAAAGTTTTTCGGGAAAACCAAAAGCAAAGCCATGAGAGTTTATGCTCAAAATGAACGATATCATACCATTGTAAAGAGTCGTGATTTCTAATAAAGGATAAAAAGAAATATCCAAACGTTCTTACATTGTTCGTTGTTTTTCTTGTTTGTTTGAAGGGAGGTGGAGGCTGGTCTAATGGAGTACAAGCCAGATATTATCATCAGTGTTCATCCACTGATGCAACACATTCCTTTATGGGTTCTAAAATGGCAAGGCCTTCAAAAAAAAGTGGTGTTTGTCACAGTCATAACAGACTTAAACACCTGCCATCCAACATGGTTAGTTTACTTATTCTCTGCTGATCTTTTAGCTTCTATCTTATCTAACATTACAAACACTATAAATCCAGGTTTCATCCCGGCGTAAACCGATGCTACTGCCCATCAGAGGCAGTAGCCAAGAGAGCCTTGCTCGACGACATCGAAGAGTCTCGAGTTCGTGTCTACGGCCTACCTATCAGGCCATCCTTTGCTCGAGCGGTACTCCAGAAGGTAGATCTTTACATTTTAGTACATCACAACCATGTAATTATGTTTGAAGGAGGTCTGATTGTGTTCGTGGCGGTTTTCGATGCGATTTTTCGCTCACATAGGATGAACTAAGGGAAGAACTTGAAATGGATCCAGAGTTACCAGCAGTGCTGCTAATGGGAGGAGGTGAAGGGATGGGTCCTGTAAAGAAAACAGCAAAAGCTCTTGCTGAGTCCCTTTATGATAAGGACAACGAGAAGGCTATTGGGCAAATTGTTATTATTTGTGGAAGAAACCAAACTTTGGCCTCTTCTCTTGAAGCCTTTGAATGGAAGATCCCTGTTAAGGTCAGTTGTAGCCATTCTTGGAGGGCTTTTTTTCCCCTAAAAGCTTCGCTTATTGGCATTCATTTCAGCTTCTTTTCTTCCTGTTTTGCAGGTGAGAGGCTTTGAAAAACAGATGGAGAAATGGATGGGAGCTTGTGACTGTATAATAACAAAAGTACGTCTTTGCTGCATTTCTTGATATTCCCTCATAAATCTTTTGTTTAGGATAAAATTCCAAATACGATAATATGATTCGGGATTTTACTGCCGTTGGATATTGTTTAGTGATATCAGGCGGTGCAGTTAAATACTGTTTAGTGATATCAAGCGGTGGAGTTAGATATTGTTTAGTGATATCTTGCGGCACAGTTAGATACTATTTAGTGATATATGGCGGTGCAATTACATACTGTTTAGTGATATCAGGAGGTGCAGTAAGATACTGTTTAGTGATATCATGCGGTGCAGTTAGATATTGTTTAGTGATATCATGCGGTGCAGTTAGATACTGTTTAGTGATATCAGGCGGTGCAGTTAGATACTGTTTAGTGATATCAGGTGGTGCAGTTAGATACTGTTTAGTGATATCAGGCGGTGCAGTTAGATACTGTTTAGTGATATCAGGCGGTGTAGTTAGATACTGTTTAGTGATATCAGGCAGTGTACTTAGAACCGTTTAGTGATATCAGGCGGTGCAGTTAGATATTGTTTAGTGATATCTGGCGGTGAAGTTAGATATTGTCTAGTGATATTTGGCGGTGCAGTTAGATACTGTTTAGTGATATCAGGGGGGGCAGTTAGATACTGTCTAGTGATATTTGGCGGTGAAGTTAGATATTGTCTAGTGATATTTGGCGGTGCAGTTAGATACTGTTTAGTGATATTAGGGGGGGCAGTTAGATACTGTCTAGTGATATTTGGCGGTGAAGTTAGATATTGTCTAGTGATATTAGGTGTTGCAGTTAGATATGTTAGGTATTGTTTAGTGATATCAGGCGGCGCAGTTAGATATTGTTTAGTGATATCAGGCGGCACAGTTAGATATTGTTTAGTGATATCAGGCGGTGCAGTTAGATACTGTTTGGTGATATCAGGCCGTATGAAAATGTCTATAAACAAAACTTGATATTGAATCATAGTGATGGACAAACCATTGGGATACTTGATCATGTTAAACTAAACTTTTGTTCACAGGCCGGACCCGGTACAATTGCGGAAGCTTTGATTCGAGGGCTTCCGATCATTCTAAATGATTACATTCCCGGGCAAGTAAGTGACGAAACTCGACATTTGCATCCAGCTTTAGACTAGAGTTTTCATAACGAACTCATTAAAAAAACCTTGTCCCCATAGGAAAAAGGGAATGTTCCATATGTGGTTGACAATGGAGCTGGAGTGTTTACTAGAAGTCCTAAAGAAACAGCCGCCATTGTTGCACAATGGTTCAGCACAAAAACAGAAGAACTTCACACAATGTCACAAAATGCTCTCAAACTAGCACAACCTGAGGCCGTTTTCGACATTGTCAGGGACATTCATGAGCTTGCTTGCCAACGAGGTCCAATGGCGAACATCCCGTACATGTTAACCTCGTCATTTACAGACCTAATTTAAATGGTTTCGTCGTCAACGTATCTACCATTGTCAAAGTTTATTATCCTAGAATTGCCATGTACAGATAGCCTCCTTATATATTGTGCCAATTTGTTTAATGGATGCTACCATGATTTCCAACTTGTAAAAGAAAAAAAATGAAAGAAAGTTTATTTAGGGCTTTGTGAAAGTTGTTCATGTTTCCAATGTTCTTGGATAGTCTATGAGAAATTTTGATGCCTAAAGTTCGTGACGTTTTTGGAGTAGTACTGAGCTAAAACTAGAATTGGTCGTGTAATGCTCCCGATAGTAATAGTGCTAAGTTGCTTTAATCCTAGTGTTCGGGGCTGCACATGGGGTGTTTCCCCTTTCAATAGGCGACATGTACGGCTAAAAATAGTTATGCTTAGGTTTATAGCATGTCGATCAGTTTTGACAATGCTCGGGGCTGCACATGGGGTCTTTCCCCTTTCAATAGGCGACATGTACGACTAAAAATAGTTATGCTTGGATTTATAGCATGTCGGTCAGTTTTGTTTTGAGTTGAAGGTAAGAATTCTTTCTTCAATAAATGGTCGGACCTCGAGTCTTTCCCCGAGGGAAAGATTTAGGGTTTTCTTAAATTCTTTTCTATAATTTTTATAAATATTTCACAAGTAGAAATAGTTTTTATAAATTTATTTACTAAAATATAAATAATTAGAAGTTAATAAAATTTTGGGACCAAGTTAAAAAATAACAATAATTGAAAATTATTATATTTTTCCAAAAAAGAAAAAAAATAAAGTTCCTAAATTGCAAACCGGCCCTTTCTCCATCTATGTTTGCTTGAGGAGTGCTCTATTTTTATATTTTTCAGAAAACGCCCCTACTTTTCTTATTTTTTACGAAAACATCCCCTAAATTTTAACATTATTTCCTTTTTCACCCCTCCTCGCAAATATTGACAGAGTAAAATGGAAAGAAGAAGACGGTGACGGAAATACCAGAGACGAAAACCTTTTCTCCGATCCCCAGCGTTAGGTTCAGCGCTGCCTCTGAAATTCCCGGCGGCTATTTCGGTTCCGATCCGCTCATTGGAACATAACTCTCCGGTAAGTCTCATCGGATCTTAATTAGTCGATTTACTGTTGCGAAGTGAGAGTCGATCGAATTGCGGATTTCGCTATTGGAAATTCTATCATCTGGCTTTGAATGAATCAGAATTTGTTTGGTTGGATTGATATTTATAGTTCATTGCTAAATTATCTGTTGGAACTCGAATTGTTCTTTAGACGTTTAAGATATCGATCTTATTTTCCTGCGATCTTTGCAGTTGGGAAGAATTCGGAGTTCGGATTGAAGGTTAAGACGTTGAATATTGAGATAAATTATGGTGAGGTTTCAATTGTTAAAAGTTTAACTCACTATGTAGTTGTTGTAGCATGGGGAAGGGTTAGATTGAGAAGGCCATTAGGAGAAAACTTGTTTGTATTTTTGATCCCATTGATTTCATGTCAGGTTCACCACTCTAGCTTTGTAGATGAGGAAGGAATAAGCAAGGCTTGTGGATGCCCCTTACTTCCTTTGAAAAGTCATATAAAGGGTCCTGCTCCAGTTTCAGATCAAGGTTTACACGAACTCAATGGATTATTTTGTTTGTTTCATCTCGTCTTCTTATATGTTTCGTACTGAAACTCATCTTGGTTGGAAATTCACAGATAAGACTGATATTGTTGATGAAGCAATTACATTCTTTCGTGCCAATGTTTTCTTTAGAAATTTTGACATCAAGAGTCCTGCTGATAAGCTTCTCATCTATTTGACATTCTACATCAATGTGGCTTTGAAGAGGCTTGAAGGTTGCAGAACTTTGGCTGTGGGAACTAAGGCAATAATTAACTTGGGCTTGGAGAATGTTCCCGTGCCTGGAGAGTTGGGCTTTCCCTTTCCTGGACTCTTCCCCATCCCTCAATCTAATGAGGAAGCAGGTGAAGCTCGATTTTAGTTTTTGCTTAACTGTTCGATATCTGTAATGCCTTTATTTGTCAACTAGAAATGCTTACATATGAAGAATCTTCACTTCCCTATGGTCACCACTAGCTCTGATTGACGGTAAGAACCCACGTTGGTTGAAAAGGGGAACGAAACATTCCTTATAAGGGTGTGGAAACCTCTCTCTAGTAGATGCGTTTTAAAATCTTGAGGTGAAGCCCAGAAGGGAAATCCCAAAGAGGACAATATCTACTAGTAGTAGACTTAGGCTGTTACAAATGGTATTAGGGCCAGACATCGGGCGATGTGTCAGCGAGGACGATGGGCCTCTAAGGGGGTGGATTGTGAGATCCCATATCAGTTAGAATGGAAAATGAAACATTCCTTATAATAGTGTAGAAGTCTCTCCCTAGTAGATGCGTTTTAAAACCTTGAGGGGAAGCCCGGAATGGAAAGTCCAAAGAGGACAATATCTGCTAGCAGTGAGTTTGGGTTGTTACATTGATGCATTCAGATTAGGTCGATCCTTTTTCTGTATTTCGCACAAATTAAGTAGTACTACATTCTTTTCCCAAATGATGGAGATATTATGAGTTAATTTTGTGTGAAAAAAGCCAGTAAACTCCTTAAGATCAACAATTTCATAAGCTTCAAATATGGCTACCTTTATATGCAGAGCTATTCAGGAATTATTTGAGGCAAATAAGAGAAGAAACAAGTGGGAGACTCTTGAGTGTTGCCTATAGAGCCAATGGGACTCCAAATAAATGGTGGCTAGCATTTGCAAAGAGGAAGTTTATGAACATCATCATTCCTTGACCAATTTGCTTCCAAGATTATTGATGTAAACACATGCACCGCATGGACTTCTATGATCATGTGGTTTCTACTGCCCCTTCAGGAGTTAGTTTGTAATGTACTGAGTCTGAATGTTATTTTAGTTTATGCTAATGCATGTCAGTATAAATTCTGTCATTTCACAAGTTTTGTACATTAATCACACCACTCCATCTTGTTCAGAAGGAATAGTTCCTTTCCATGGTTCTCATTGAATTAAATACTCAATTCTTTGCAGGTGATAGGTGATTTGTTCGATTTCATCTAAGCCCATAGCGGTTGGATCACAGTGTGCACACTGTAATAACCTAGGTCCACCGCTAGTAGATATTGTATGAAACATTCTTTATAAGGGTGTGGAAACCTTTCCCTAGCAGATGTTCGAGAGAAAGCTCAAAAAAGAACACCCAAAAAAGACAGTATCTACTAGCGGTGAGCTTGTGCTGTTATACCAACCATCATTTTAGGTCAATGGTTGTATTTAAGCTTTTTGTTTTTGATATGTAATAGTTTTGTTCTTTAGAACTCATACACAATAGAATAACTTATCGAGCAGATGTTATTAAAGTAAGACCGTATTTAATAGCTTTGTTAATATTATAGTTTATCTCTACTAGTATTCTCAGCAAGAAATGTAATTTTTGTCAAATTAACACAGAAATGCCTTTTGGTTTGATCTTACGTCCTAACTTATTCTCCATGGACTAATCTCATGGATGAACCCTTATATTTTCAAAGCATTAGATTCTCACACTACTCAAGTCGACATTCTCGCTAAGACGTAACGCCCCCCTACATATGCATTTTTGTATCACTTAATTAAACCCCACTCTTAAAAGTTGAACCAAACCTACTTTCCAACTTTTAAAATATTTATATATTTCAAACTTACTAAATTTGTCATTTCATATTTAGAAAATCTTAATAATCACAAAATTCAATTTATTTATTTATTATTATTAATTTTTTTTTTTTTTTTTTGTCACAAGTGAGAAATGGATGCAATTATGGCATTGACCTCTCTCCTTCCACCACGCGTCCATTCCTTACCCTTTCGCAAATCTATCAGATACAGCCAGAAACATCTCAGTAACATGCACTCGTACCCTCTAGTCCGTTAGATCCAAAAACTATCTAAATTATCATGGTCCTTACCGTAGGTAATTATTTACCACGTTGTTCTCTCTTGTGCTTCGGGTTTCATTTCAGTTTCCAAAGTGTATTTCTGTCTTATCCCTGTTCTCCCGCCTTAGCCATCGATTTTTTTTTGGCTTGTCATCGTTCTCACCGTACAACTCAATCGCAACCGGAACTGTATTCGGCCGGAGTTTTGATGGTAGGTTTCCGGTGGGGAGTTCTGTAATTGGGATGAGACTGTAATCTTGGTACAATTTTCGCCTTGGTTCTTGGAGAAGTGGAGCTGATGCTATCTCTTCGTCGAGGATTTGTTTGATTGAGTTCGGGTTGACTTCTGGGAGGTTTCTTATTTGAGGTGAGAATTTATCTCTTCCTTTAACCACGTAGCTGAAATTTTGTTCTCGTTTTCGTTTCCATGCGTTCAATGGAGAATTTTTCTGGGTGGATTGAATTTAATCTAGTGGAAGTGGATTTAGGTTGCTTTTTAGGTGATGGTTTATGGTGTTGTATGAGCTTGGAAGCGCCAATAGAGGGTCGAGAAAGATGATCGAATGAGGATTTGTAGTGATGGTTTGAGAATTGCATGCATATGGGAAAATGCCGAGTTGTCTCCGCTGAGTTTTTCTTGGTGTCGTCTTGCCTAATGATGTCTTGGATTATTATGTTGGATTTTGCTTGATAGATCACAAGATTTTTAGGATTGAAGTTGAGGATGTATGTGAGGGGAAAATGCTTGTCTATTGGAGGGAAGCGAATACGATTTGTATTCGGTCTATTTGGATTGGATTTTCTTTAGTGTGTTTAGTAGATCTTGTGAACTCTATCTCGTTCATTTCTTAGTTGTCGTAGGAAATTTTGTTTTGATTATTTCTATGGGAAATTGGAAGCTATGGAAAATGGTGGATGTAGTTTTGAACTTGATTGAAGAAAATATGTAAGGTCCGGGCCTTTGCGAAGGACTTGATATTAATTCAAGGTGGATGTAGTTTTGAACTTGTTATTGGGGATGAGGTGGGGCAATAATCTTTATGTGTCCAATATTTGGTGTAGAGGACTTTTGTTGGGACTACATGGTAGTCATTACTGGGGAAAGGTTCGAAGTGGAATATAGTCCACGGAACTCTAGCTATGATTATTTTTTCATCTTCTGATGACATGGTCTCTTGTTTTCTGGTAGATGAAGGGGAAATGTTGCAAAATTTCTAGGAGGTATTGAATTTGAGAACCTTGGTAGACATCCTTACAGGTTGGATTAGTTGCCCTTCGTTGATTAAATAAAAAGATACTCGAGTGCCACCCCAAACAAACAAAAAAAAAAAAAAAAAGGAAAGAAGGAAAGAATCCTTGGAGGATATTAGAAAAAAACACTCTAGCTTGTAAGAAACTAAAAGTTATCATAATTACAAAAAGGGGGGAGCTAAATAGCTACAATTTGAGACCAAGATTCTAATCTCTTCCAATAACGTATCAACCAGCTCTCCTGGCTATGAAAAATTCCTTGATTTTGTTTCTTCCACTGTGTTTTAGCAAAGAATAGTAGCGTCATTGCTAGGAGAAGGAGATACCACAAGAAAGTTGCTCTGTATTGTGTTGTCAGTGGTGTTGTGAATGATCTTGCCAGTGACTCAGCAGCCAATTTTCTCTAGAACTACTGTCACAATAAGAGCATTCAGTAATAACAATAAGGGGATCGAGTAATTTCTGAGAACATGCTTGAAGTACAAGAATGGAATCATTGTCAAGTTTGGCCTAGGTAAACATCCTTTCAACTTCCAATTCATTCTCAATGTTGTATGACAATGGGGTCTTGCCCTCGTCTGACATCCTTACCATGTGAACCAAGCCATTTTAAGTAAATAGATTTATAATATTTTTCTTCCCATTTGGTGTACTTGGGGGGTATGATCAGGTGATAAATCACATGAACCATGGTGTTTTCAGCTACTGTAGCCAATTTGGAAGTTCAAGCATTTTTGTTCATAACTTTTTTATATTTCGCAGGCAGAATGAAGGGGGTTAGAGACTGGTTATTTTCTCAATTAGTATCCAAGTCAGTGGTTTCATCTAGACCATTACTGGGGAGTGACAGTTTCTTTGGTGAGGAAAATGTAGAACTCATGGATGAAGACCAAGATGATGGAGGTACGTGTCTGAATCGATGAATGTTTGTTTTTGTTTTAGATTCAAAATTTTCTGCCTCTGCTGATGGCATGGATTTTAAGAAAATTTATAGCTTGTTTGGATTACTTATCTTCCCCCTTGATGAAGAAATTCAAGAATATTTGGTCTTATGCTATTAGGCCTATCCTTGTGGGAATGTGGATTTAGGTTAATTGTTGGTCTCTTCATGCCTTCTTTACCCCTAATTTTGTAACTCTTTGTTGCTTGTGTTTTTGCGAATTGGGATTCCTTTCTATAGCCCCCTTGGGTTGTTGGGTGGATTGCTGATCCCAACCCCCACCTGTTTTGTATTCTTTGTTGATTATGAATTCATTTTGTTCTTAAAAAAGTAATATTATCTCCTCGAGAAAGTATTTATATTTCTTCTTTTTCAATACTTTTCTTCATGTGATTTTTTTCTTCCTGCCTGATTTGGTTATTATTTGTATTTCATTAACTTGTTAGTTTATTAACTCTTTATGTTCCTCATCTGTAAAGATTCAAGAAACATATATATCTTCTGGTATCTCTTATTCTTGTACCCCATGCCTCGTTGGAGTCTGAATTATTGGTGGTGTATTGGCTTCATTGCTATTATTTGTGGCTAGATGTAGGCAGATACCGAGCATTTTGCACTTTTTTTAATGTCCAAGTTCATGTCTTTCTTTCAAAACCTTAATGTTCTTCTATGTCAACCAATTTGTTCCGATGACTAGTCACAGGTTAGAAATATAATGTTGATGGGGCTTTTGGTCACCGATCGGAGAAAATGGTTTTACAGAAGACTTCTTCTTTACTTTTAAAGCTGCTTAGTATCTCTTGCTTGAGCTACAGTCTACTGTACAAGAATGTAAACTTGTTTTATAAACCTTTTCTGTTTTTTTTTCTTTTTCGAACTTCTCAAATTATATAACAGAATATTATCTTCTGTAGTTGTACAAGCAACCACTATTGTAACACCCAGTGCCCCTCATACATCAGACTCTGGTGAGAATTTGGAGAACCAAGATGATTTGTTACTGGAACAGGTTCCTAGTGGAAATTCACCCCAATCTCAACATAGCTCTAACAGGGGAAAGATGGATGTCTTGACAAAGCTTGAGGACCTCCAAGTTCAGTTCTTTCGACTTCTACAGAGAATCGGCCAGACACAAAACAATTTGTTAGTGGAAAAGGTTCTGTACCGAATACATCTAGCCACTTTGATACAGGTAGGGGAATCAGATCTCATAAGAGTAAACCTTGGAAGGAGTAAAGCCAGCGCTAAAGCAGCTGAACAAGAAGCAGCTGGGATACCAGAATCAAACTTCACATTTAGAATACTTGTACTGGGAAACACCGGAGTTGGAAAGAGTGCTACAATAAACTCCCTCTTTGATCAAGCAAAAACTGACACTGATGCATTTCAACCAGCAACTGGTCGTATTCAGGAGATTGTGGGAACAATCAATGGGATTAAAGTATCCATCATTGATACCCCTGGTTTTTCACAATGTTCCTCAGGAAATATGAAGAGAAATAAGCAAATTATGTTTTCTGTGAAGAGATATATAAGAAAATCACCACCAGATATTGTTTTGTACTTTGAGCGCCTTGACGTCATAAATAAGAATCATACTGATTACCTTCTGATGAAGCAAATAAGTGAGGTCTTTGGTTCTGCAATTTGGTTCAACACCATCCTGGTCTTGACTCATTGTTCCTCTGCTCTTCCGGAAGGACCTGATGGATATCCTGTCTCCTTTGAATCATATGTGGCCCATTCCTCAGAGATTTTGCAGCAAAATATTCACCAGGCATTGTCTGACCCTAGACTTGAAAATCCCGTCCTTTTGGTTGAAAACCACCCTCACTGTAAGAAAAATATTATGGGGGAAAAAGTCCTTCCAAATGGACAGGTCTGGAGATCACATTTTTTGTT